AGGAGAAGCAAGGCCCCTGGAATTATTCACTGCACTAGCTAAAGAATATTCATCATATTAATGACAAAAATACTATGGAGCTTTTCCAGCTTCTATCATCATCTGCACATAGCACTACGTTTTCTGAAGTGCTGAGAAATTCAGTATGCCAGTACGCACAGAGTCGGGCTGGAGAAGGAGAGGATAAGACAAGCCCAGTTGTCACAGCGCCGATAACTCAGGGTCTCCTGAAAAATTAGGCTCATTATGCGGTTCTGGTGCGCGGAAGGCAGGCACCCAAAATCTTTGGCTACGCTGCAGAGTTTACTGCTGACAATCTTAATTGGTCAAGACCTCGATGACGTACACTGCAATAATTTGGCTCTAAGCCGAAAACGCTCCTCTATGGTTTGCCTGAAAGGTTTCAGCGATGCACACTGTATCTTGCTACTGTACCAGGACCTGTCTGCCATTCTGACAAAGCATACTGTAAACAGTGTATGAAGGACAGCGTTCAAGCACAGATCAGAAATTTCTCTGGGGCCTAAGTATCTGGGGCTCAGGTATCACTCATTGTAAGGACATGCTAATTCCCGATGAAAAGATTTCAAGAACTTAAGGAAGCAAGTTGAACAGGAAAATCTCACAGCACCAGAAGAGATGTCAGCACATCACAGGATATGAATAAAGTCTTAAAACAAACTCAATTTTTCTGGGTGCAGGTCAAAGACTTGCTGAATATGAAACAGTTGAAACAAGCAAGCAAGCAAAGAACACGCTAGATAAAAAAAATAAAACAAACCACACAAGTTTATAGCGAAGTCAGGAGATTCTCACTACGTGAAAGCTAAGGTCAAGTTTGCACTTTAAGTCTTTTGCTACCTCCAAAAATCCACAAGACATTTGCATTAATCTCAAAACAACTCGAGGTGTAATCTTCCTAACCTAACGGGGGGAGCCCTGGCGTCAGGATCGCAGTACTGGGAACTCTCACACAGCTCAGTTTTTGCTGCTCAAAGCTGAAGTGAACAGTGCTTTCTGACAAAACGATTATTATCTAGGACCCCAACACACGGCTGTGCTACTCATCAGCAAATGGGCAGATCCTGCCTGATACTGAGTATCTCCTGCAAAGCGCCATCCTCCCCCTCAATTGCTACGCAAATCAGAAGCAGCAAAAGTGCTCATCCCCTCACGCAGTCGGCCTCAACCACTTCCTCTTTAAAAGCAGATTCTGTAAAACGTACTTTGAAAATAAACCTTTAGAAAAACCAGTTGACTGGCATTTTTTTTTTTTTAATTGCACGAAGTCTGCAAAGACCCCACTGGGTACTGCGTTATCCCATAAAGATGTCAGCTTTTTAGTGACTGCAGCTCTACAGAGAAGGAACAAACAATAGAGCGTTTCCTTATAAGTACACGGACTCTACCCCGGTGACAGAGACCATTTCCCCAAATGGTCAAAAAATTAAAGCTACTCCACTGTGGTTTTTGAAAGAGAACGCCTTTAAAAGCATACATCCCACCCCCATCCAAGGAAGCTAAAGCCTACAGTGATACCTACAAGCTTTCGCACTGTTAGCATCGACATGTTACACTGTTTACTTAGTTTATGCACTCTCACAGCGCAGCTTTTTGCAACACGGTAAGTTTTCTACTCTCACTCTGCTAAACTGAACTAACAAAAGGATTGTGCCAGCCTGCACTGTGTGTGCGCTTACACCTCCTCTCGGCAGACGTCAGCTGCTTGTAATTTAAAGGCTCGGTGCAAACACAGGAAGGGGAGCTCAAGGCTCCTAAATCTGCTCCCCTTTTCTGATTTCTGCATAAAAACTGTGACCATCACTAAGATCTGAATACAGCCTTTTGCTCTGTGTAAGCAATACAAAAGGAGATGGGAGAAAAGCAAAGCTAAATGCCCTGCCATCTTTTATATCAACCACCAAACTGGCTGGCTGCAACGGTGAATAACCCATAGAAGTGGCAGAGATGGCACATACCCCAAATGCAGCAAACCTGAGCTGGTTCTGCATGAGCAGTTTGGACCTCGGTGCAAGAAACCCGTACTGCCCATCCAGTCCCGCCTCTAAGCACAAACCTGAGGCCCTTCACCGTCATTTTGTTAAACAGTCCTGGAGCCTGAAGAAACAAGGAAGAATAACTCTTAATTTGCTTCTCTAACACTATGCTGGCTACTTAATCCGAGCAATCTGCAACACCAAGAGCTATCCCTTCGGCAAGGCCATTTAAAGTGCTGGTAAACGGCAGCTCTATCACAGAATTTCCTGCTGCACTTCTGTCTTTCAGTCGTAATAGCCTTTGAGGAGTGCTAGCAGTTCAGAGCCTCATACAGTTTTCCTGTCTCAAAGCATTAGGTGCATTAGGGAGCTGCAGTTTTGTATAGATCGATTGTACCTGTCATTATGCTCACGGCAGAATTTTAATTCCATTACTCTAATGCGTGATGCAAAAAATAGCTTTAGGGTCTTCTCATGTTTGCAGGTACAAGCTGAAGTAGCCAAGGTGTCACTCTCAAGCCTAAGAAATGAGGGCAACAGATTGCATTGCTTGAAGAGCACCTTGTTCAGCCAACAAGCGAATAGCACTGGCTCTGAACGCAGCCAAATGGTCTGCTTTCCTGCCCAGAGAGATTTTTGGGGAGCAAGACTGCAGCAACCAAACCATAAGGGGCAAGAGAAATGAGAACCACTGCAATAGGAGGAGGAAAGAAAAAGTCATCATCTTGCTTTATTTGAAGCTGAGCAGTTTCTGCATCTCCCTGGAACAAGTCAGTGAGAGCTGCCCCCAACAGCAGTGCTTGGTTAAACAATATCCTATTTTGCACTTGGGAGTTATGTAACAGCAGTCCCAGTCACATGGGCAAGGGGAAGCAAAGAAAGGGCATTATTCACAGCCTGACATGGATGAACCCTGTTTAACACATGCTCTTAGAAAACACTGTTCTCTCTGTCCAGTAATATTATTTCACATTCCACTCGTTTTGATAACCTTTTCCTTCTCCATCTACCCCACTGACTGACAGCATAACTGGGAAGTTGACTAATGCCTTCTCCATAGATTAGCCAACGCACATCACTGCTCTAGCAGGCTGACTTTTTTTTTTTTTTTTGGCCTTCAAGATGCCACTGAGCCTATTTTGCAATAAATATTTTACAAATACATACAATACAAAGCTAAGGGAATTCAGAAGCGAATTTACCTAACATTATCTGATATGCAACCCTTACGTAGCCTTTCACTGTGGCCAGAAGCAGCTAGCATTAGAAATGATGTAGAACTAAGAGAATCACTGCTTCATACAGATAAAGCGGAGATGATCCTTCTCGGGCAGAAAAACTGCATGTGGCATTACACTTTCAACATCCCCGTAGAAGTGTTCATCCATAAAGTACCCTGGCAAACACAGAAGGCGACGCAGAATTAAACAGGCATGGTAAATTTACAGTTAGCAGCCAAGCAAAAGATACGATGACGGGGGTGTTCTTTTCTTTGATAGTCAACAACACTTCTGCAGAAATTTTCTGAGCCTGTTTTTCATTTACTGTCTTTACTTTATGCATCCTTGTTGCTATCCGCCACCCAGCTTCCATGATGCTCAGCACATCACAAACATTTAAAGATTGCACAAACCTAAGGAAAATTTGTACTTGATAGTTTGCTAGGACTGAATTAACAGAGAGTGGAATGAAATGGAGTTTTTGAAGAGCAAAAACTACATATTGTAATGGAAATTTTGGGCTATAAAACATTCCTTATGTACAACTTAGTTTCCCTTCCTGACCCTGCAGCAAAATGTTTGGTATATTTCAACTTGAATGCTTTTTTCTTTTTTCTTTTTCTCATTAAAGGACTCCCTTGTAAACATAGAGATTTCAATGCTAGAGATCTTCATATAAAACAGTAGTGCCTCTGACACTTCCGTCTGAACTTTACACAAGAAGAGACAAGAAATTAATTTTTGCAAAGAATAAAATGAAGTCAGAGCTCTTCTGACCTGATTTTCCACGGGTGCTAAATTCTACACTATTTCAAGGTACACATTAAAACGTGAGTATAAGATCATGTTTTGACTTGCTCAAACGTCCTGACTAATTTCTATTTACGTGAATCAAACTTTCATGAAAGACAAAACTACCCCTACCCATTGCAACAATCTTGATCAGAAATACCACGTTACATCTTTTGAGTAGATGTGTAACACCAAGAACAAAAGCAATTTAGACATGCCTTCTCCTTCCCCGCTGCTTTCTTAAATTACAGAGGCATCACTGGGCTTAGATGTTTAAACACTGTGCTTCCTTCTGCGCATCTAATTCTGAATCAAACTAAAGAGAAAACATTAATCAGCACTGAAACATTTAAACGTACGTTTAAAGTTAAGTATCGGCTCAGAAGCTTTGCTGAACTGGGGTCAACGTGCGGAAGCCACAAACAGATCTCCATCCAGACAGCAAATGTCAAATACAAAATAAAAGCCACATGCTATCTGCGACAAACAACAATTCCAGGACTCTCCACAACATGAAAAGCTGTCCTGCTGTAAACCTAGCATCCGAACAGCCATCTTGGCAATGTTTCCCTGCTGCAACCAAAGCCATCAGGACATCTGAAGTGCTGCTCAACAACGCACAAAGTCTGGTTCTACCTGGATCACACAACACATGCGTAACTGCAAGCACCCATTGTCCTTGATGAGTCCTCAAAAGCTTACCTGTCACAGATTCTGGGCTTCTAGTTAAAACTGATTTTGCATAAACTTATTTGGAGCCACATCAGTTATGTTAAACTGAATACTGTTACACTAAAGAAATCTGACTGTATCCGTTTACAATTTTTATGCAAATATAGGTCCCTGCAGAGAGATCTCTATTTTTTTAATCATTCTATGAACTGACTTAAGCAAAGCATTAAGCCTCAGAGGTTTTATACTACCAGCAGGATTGAGGAACTGATCCTACCACATCCATGTTTACAAATAGTCTCTCCTCCCTCCGGCTTACCTTTTCAACATCTGCTTTTGTAACATTGATGTCAGCATCCATTTTCTCAAAATACTGCTGTGCTCTATCAGCTTCTTTACAATCACGTTCAAACCTCCTTTTACTCTGAAAACGAAAAGTATGAGAAAAACACAATTTGAAAAAATAAATAAAAAAAGGGCAAAAAACCAAAAACCCCACACACTAAAAAGCAATCCTCACCCTAAATTGATCTGTTGTAACTATTGTAAGGCGATTTTAAGACTAGCTTCTTGACAATGACATATATTAAAGGACTGCAAAAACAAAGTTGCCATAAATAAATTTTTTGCTCTAATCTTCAGACAATTTGGTTCTAAGCAATATCACTGGTATTTCAATATTTTTCCTAACACCACCAACATCTCTTCTGCTCCAGTCTACTAAATCACTCCTTTACTACGTTCAACTCCCTCATTTTTGGGATACACAACAAGCAAGCCGCTAAAATGCACGCATTTGTGAGTAGGACTTTTAGTTACTACTGTTTCCTTTCCTTATCCTCTTTTCCACTTTCAGTTTCTCACTTGTTCATGCAATGAATGACGAGGCCTAAGTTCAGATGTACTGACTTTTGAGAAACAGCACCTTTATCAAGAGATGGTCCTATTCAAGTTATTCATGCAGTAGAAAGCTATTCAGCTTAAAGAGGAATAACTGAACAGGACCTTAGGGACTCTGCAGTTCCAGGAACGCTTAACACACTTTTCAAGTCATATCAAATGAAATGCTACTCACGATAGACACTGAGCCTTAAATCAGACTCTGCTAACCCAGTGTATTTAAGACAGCAGGGTTTAAATATCACATTTCTGCAGTTTTCAGAGCTTTTATTCATATACCCTCCTTCTCCAAATGTCACGTTTGCAGCCACATCTACGAAAACAGTATAAAAATGGCTTAAAAGTCACATCTCAGAAGTTTCCACTTACTGCTTCAAGTTGTTTCCAGCAAGTTTCAATATGTTGTTGTGCCTTTCGGCCATCATGGAAGTGCTGTTTAGAAAAAGAAAGAAAAGAAAAAGAAAACACTTTTGAACAACAAAAGAACAAACGGCCAATTATGTTCAAGAAGCTCTACAGAAAAAAAAAAAAAAACACAGAAATTATTCTGACAGCCGTGTTCTGCAACTTTGGAAAACTGAGCAGGTGTATGACGACTATCTAATGTCTCAGCAAGCTGCAGATGTATATTTGCATCAATTATAGTGGTTATTTAGACAAAGTCTAATTAATTCCTTCAGCAATTCCACCTAGTATTGTTCACTGTAACTCATAATTATTGGTTTCCCATGCTATGAAATCTTAAGTACTTTTATCTGAAGAGGACCTCTTTGGTTACTGACTGAATACTAGGTCTGAATTAAAACTTCTCTATACGTGGAATTTAGCAAGATGCTACTGACTGACATATTCTAGCAACTGATGTTTGTCCCGATCTCTTCTTCCTAGTTACTGGTGGCATTTGTGAAGTTGGCTGTTTGTTGCTTTGGAGAGTTGTTGAACAGTTTGGGCCCCTCCAGATACCTTCTTCTCCCATAAATTTGCGCGCATGTATGCATGAAGGCGGGTGCTACCAAAGTTCTGAAACGTCAGCTACATACTAAATGATAATTTTCTTTAAAACATAGGACCTTCTTACATGAAGGGCGCACAGCTGCCTTTTGCAGCAGGAGTCTTTTAGTTGAAGTCAGTTTAAATAACAACTTCTAGCCCTTACACGATACTCTTTCCTCTAAGAATCTAATGTGCTTTAGATATTATTCCCTCTATCTTCTGTATGCCTCACTTTTCCTGAAGAAAAGCCATTTGTTCAAGAGCACTGTGTCAATCAGTGACACAGCTGTAAAGAGAGATCATGAATTCTAACGTAGTCCCCAGCTGACTGCTAGAACAGGTCGTTCTCCCTACGAAACATCTTTCAAAATAAACAATACAGAAAAACTATTAATAGGAAGAGAGAGAGGCCTTTCCACTGTATTATTTACTGGCAGTCAGGAAGTTTTAGTCAAATACAGACAATTTCATGCAGCAAACTTGAAAACTATAGGTCTCATGTAACCAGATAGTCCCACTACAACTCACCAAAATTCATACATCCTGAGGCCCATGCATCACCAACCATTCCATGTATGTTATGCGACATGGTATCAACAGTCTATTATATTAAAAAAGCTTTAACTTCAGAATAGTAGCCTGCCACAAACTGCCAAGGTTAGAAAGAACATGCCTGCAAGCACTTCAGTTGGCTGCTACTGGGTTTCCTGCATCTTCCACTAAAGCAGCTGGTATTTTGCCTGTGTCAGAGAGACAGGATTCCTGAATCAACGTGCTAGTGACATTTCCTAGCTGCCTGACTCCACCAGATGAGCCAGCCCTAACATACACGAGAAGCAAACCTTCATAGTCTGAAAACTGTAATTCTATCTCATGCAATGTCCAATAGACTTCTATTGCCTTAAAAATCACGATAACTTCCAGCTTAGCTGTGCAAACGGAAGAGCAACACACCACTCTGAGTGGTAGTCATACTACCTGTAGCCCCAAACCTCTGCAGGCAGGGGCGCTTACCTACTGTTGAACATAGGGACACTCTACAGCTTTAGTGGACCGTGTTCATCTCTACGTAAAAATTCTTGAAGCACAGAAGAGAGGCACAATGTCAGTAACGCTTATAATTACGGGAATGCGGAGCACTCGGATCTGCCTGCCATGCTCCTACCTATAGGAAACACTGAATGCGAAGCAGCTAGGCCATAAAAGGCAACGCAGCTGAAAGGCTGGCAGCGCTACAGAGGCATCCTTTGCCATTAACTCTGATGATACTTGCGCAGTTCAGATCTCTGCCCACCAGCCTAGGCTTCTCCAGAAACTCATTCACTGTATTGTGACATTATTTAAAAAGGGAACTGTAAAACTGCTGGGGCGGTGGAGGGAAGACTCCAAGTAGATTTTGGTTCCTTTTGTAAATTCCTATTTCCTTTAAAAACTGTGTGTGACTGAGATACTGCATCTTCCTCACTAAAGGAATGTGAAGTGCTCCTAATTTCAAGCTTGCCTTTGTAATTAAGAGTTTAGGAAAACAGTCCCAAGGAACAACTGCAATTTCACACTGCATTTTTAAACATTTTGTTAATGAGCACAGAGTACGTGGAAGTTTTTAACAGTGAAGCTGCAAGTAAAATTACTTGGCTGTCTTCAAACTGCACTTCCTGCCTCCAGGCTTCACCATCCTTTGTGTGCTTCCCTGTTTTCCGTCTGACTTTGCTGAAGTGTATGGAGGGACTTGATGTGGGAACAACTGGCCGGCTTGAAATTTAGTGCTGTTCATGATCCACAAACCTTAAGAAAAGACCAAAAAACCCCACACAACATGCCAGGTTAATTTAACAGAACAACCGTATATAGGGGCAGGAAGATAAACCTGAAATCAAAAGCACACCAGACAACAGAACTTAAGTTCATATTTTTAAATCACTAATCAATAAGGTAGTTTTAATTTTGCATAAGCCATTCATACTATTTTCAAATTTACTTTCTCTGCACAATAAACTCTACAAACCACTTAAATTATATCGGAAAGAAGCAGTAAGCCTGGGCAGTAAGAGTGCATTCTTTTCAGGTTTTGCTACGTTTTTGAGAAGCTCCTTTACAAGAACGAAGCAAGAAGATTTAAAATGGTCATTACAGAGGATTATCAAAGAGTGAAACTGAGGAAAACGTCTTACACGATGTGGAGTGACAGTCTGATGACTACAGGTGCATCACATTTCTAGGATTTCACTGAAATACTGGTATTATTTCAACGATTTTCTAAATATATTTACAATCCAAAATTCTTTGTGTTATCACATACATCCTTGCTACGAGAGAGATAGCCACCCATTGCTAATCATATGTATTGAGCATACTTTTATTTCTGCAAATCCTTTGTCCTCAAAGGACAATTTTTATCTTCCAAAAATTCATTTTTAAATAAAGCATCTAAGTGATAGCGGCTAGTACCTTCCAGCTACCTTTCTTCAATACTCCCGTTTTATAGCTAATCATACTGTCTCAATTCTCTTAAGTGATCTGCTTAAAGTCATACAGGAAGCCTCTGATTTCCTCAAACCGTGTACTATCTTCAACTTCTGCAAACTCACTTCCTTTAACAGACTTTAAAATCTTCTGATGCAGCGAAAGTCTTCCTGCTGTTTGTTTCAGGATTTAGCAAAAATAACTTAATACTAATTTTTCCTTGATGAGGTTTCAAAATAGAAGTTCTAATTTTAAGATTTTCCTCCTAATCAAATAAAACATTAACCAATTAATCTACACTTGGTAATTCAGAAAATTGGGACATGACAAATGATTTAGTAAGCCATATGGAAAACTACCGTCCCTAATTAGTCATATACATTTCAGCAGCACAGTCACAGTGATGAGCTTAAGAGCAGATGATAAAGAATATCGCCTTTCTTTCCAAATTTAATACTCAAATTGCACCCCAATCAGGCTTTCCATTTAAAAACACTCAGGTTACAAGCAAGACACCAAATTAATGCATCACACTTCAAATATGCCAGAAAGACATCTGCAACAGTGGTGCGGCTTGCTCATGTGCCACGATTTCCTCCAGACTCCCGTCGTCTATATCCACCCCAGTCAAAGCACAGGTAAAAGAGCAGTCCCAAGAATCTATGCTCTTAGCTATGCTGAAGATTTAAAAAACGAACCCCCCCCCCCCCAAAAAAAAACCCAGAGTGAAACAGACTATGAAAAACAAAGTCCTTTAACAGAAGGAAATATAAAGTGAGCATGTAACAAGGAAAACGTTCTTTTTAAAAGCATTGACTTCCCCCAAAGTGCAGCATTTTCAGATGTTTGAGGCCCATGCTACAACCTTAGCTCACATGAAAAGCTGCAAGCAGGTAACTTCTGCATACACTCAAGTGAAAGTTTTGTTTTTATGAATGTTCATTGCTCCGTTTCCCCAAATCACCTCTTAATCTATACTTAGGGGGTCTAAATATGCTAGCAATCACCATACCAACTTTAAGATTTCTCTGAAAAATACTCTATCCAAGCATTAGACCTAATAAAGAGCTTAAAACATTGCACTATCCAAAACCAGACCATACTGGCGGCATGACCACTGCTGTCATCCTTTTCTGTGTGTTAAAGCACAACATAACAACATAACTAAGATTTTGCAGGGTGCTCTGAACCATCCTTATTTGGCCACATTTTCACTGGATGTTTCCGTCCATGACTGAGCTCATAGAATAAGGCCCAATAATCTATGTTTTGGGTGACCTCATAAGAGCTGCTAAGACTTGAGAGATTTTCAGCACAGTATTAAGTTGCTCATATGAAAAGACTGTGGATTAGATCAACTTTTTAGAATATAAAGAATATTTAAAAAAATCTCTTGGCTCAAGATACACTCAGCTCCAGTACTGATTTGACGTAAAGGAAGAAGAGTTTTAAAAGGAACAGGGAACCTGTGTAAAGGCACGTTGTAGGCATGAGTTTTCTCATTTTTTGAATCAAATCATACGAATCAGCGTGCTCTTTTCATTGCCATGCTGACTGGGTTTGTAACAGCTGTGGAGAAATCCTCGCTGCAGTGCGATCAAAGACAAAACTCTCATTGACTTTTGTTGGGCTCAGATTTCAGCCATGGTGATCAAAACGCTGGGAGCAGCTAGTGAGTTACCTACAGTACAGCACCTGTCACCGCCAACACTATTACAGTAAGTAGCAGCGGGATATTTTTGCTAAACTTTCTTGGTAAACAAAAGGGTTGACCTAGCCATGCTATTCACAAGAGCTGACAACAAAAGCTTGGTAGAAGATGCCTCTTAGCTTCTTTCTGACCTTTTGAGAGCTTTAATAGAAAAGCAAGATGCAGCCAAAAGTATCTTATGAAGAACATTACAGTCCAAAGATTTTGCTGAGGAACTGTTGTCCAACTTTAAACGAAAAGATTGCCTGAGACACGTAGAACACCA